ACACAAAATCCTCCCCTCTGCCTGTGATATGATTACTGAACACAATGGTTAATATAATTATCACAGGCAGAGAAATACAGTATTATAAAACATATCACAGGGACCCCAAAACATGCAATAACCTCATAAAAGTATATCGGAACCGGGGGTATCTGGGTGAACTACATATCCAAAATTCACGCAGATACGTTCAGTAGTTTGGAAGATACAGTTTAATGCAGATTCCGCAGAACATATACAGGCTATATGAAAAATAATTACTGTATAATGTGTCCCCTGCTGTATAGTTTAAAACTACTGAACGATGTCTTTGTGCACCAAATACCGGCGAGATGGCACCGTGTAGAAAAGTCCAAACAGTGTCTGTGAGTTAAAATGGCCGCCATCCATTGTTCTCACCATGTGCTTCATCCATTGTTCTCACCATGTGCCTCTAATACATGAAATGGTGGCCACCCAGTAACTCCACAGTATGTCCCCAGATAGTTCTTAAAGGGCCAGCAGCAGCACAACACAAATCCATTATGCCCAAATCATGTCTTTAAAGGGCAATACATCCCAGGGGCCATTGTCACATGGCAGGAGGCTGGCAATCAGTCTTATCCTATGCCCAGTGGCGAGGTCGGTTTCGCCACACTGGTCAAGACATTAGCAATAGATCCTTTAAGTCCTGCATGTTGCGATGTGGATCAGATTTGTTGTTCTAGCACATCCCATAGATACTTAATTGGATTGGGATTTGGGGAATCTGGAGGCCAAGGCAACACTTTGAACACTTTGTCATGTTCCTCAAACCATTCCTGGACAATTTGTGGAGTGTGGCAGGGTGCATTATCCTGCAGAAAGCAGCCACTACCATTAGGGAACACCATGAAGGGATGTAAGTGGTATGCTACAATGTCTAGGTAGGTGATACTTGTCATAGTACTTAACCAGCCTCAATTTACTTCGATTTGTGCAGCCATTGTCATGCTGAAAGAAAATGAATGTTCACAAATGTAATAGAATGCTTTAGCATTAGAAGGCTTTGTCTTTGGACTCACCCAAACTATGAAATACAACCACAAACGATTGAATATTACAATCCATGTTTTGGATGTTTTTATTTTTTATTTAATGATAAGTAAACTAATTGTATTTATTCATTTTAAATGTTGGTTCCCCCTACACACTACCAGGGACAAATCCCATAGCATTTGCTTTATGCTGTAGAGAGAATAATTTAGCATACATTTTTACACACTACTTATTATTTTATTGAATATGACAATATTTTTTTTTAATGATTATTTTCTACGCACTGTTTTTTTGTAAACATTGGTGTTATATAAAACCTTTTTCTATCACAGAACAAAACCTTTTTTTTTGTCTGTTTTTTTTTTCATTCCCAAATTATGTATTTCAGAGCCAATATGTGATCAACACAAAGACAACATTTTAAGAATAAGAGCATTTTACTGTGTAACTAATCCTGGGTGATCATTGATTGAAATTATCCTCACTTACTTTCAGAGAGTGTTCTAACTTGTATTTGGCCTGTGTGCTTAGCTATTTTATCCAAAATATAGACACTCAGAATAGAAGGTTTTCTTTTCAACAGTTGACTGTATTGAGTTGATGACCAATCCTCCATCTTAAAGCAGACCTGTCATGTGGGATTATTACACGATCACTTTCTGAATGCTGCATTTTTGATTTCTTGAAATCCTCTGCTGTGTTGAAATGATAAAATAGGTAAAATAAGGACAGTGACACAGGCAAAAGAGATTTCAAGGAGAAAGTTCTAAGAACAATGCATCAATTAGCGTCTTAATGGTAAGGAAATACTATATTTGATTTACAATAAATAGTATGTACTTCAAAATAAGACTAGCCCTCCGGTAACAGGATAAATTAAAATGGATATTATAAGCACCACAACCACATACATCTTATTGTAGTGTTTACATTGCAAGGAGCCTCGGAGTGATGTTTTTCCAATTTATAATGAGAGAGCCAGGCAAGTGGCTAAGGTCTGGGTCCCACGAGAGCCTAGTATTTATCAAAATTTGCTAAATGTTTTGATAAAAACTGGAGTAAAAATAGTCACTTCAGTAAGTAGTAGTAGTTATGATGCTTTGATGAAATGAGAAAAATAACTGGGGAGCAGATATGGTGCCAAGAACTATGAGTGACTGGATAAGGAGCAAAGAGACACGGCATACGACTAATTAGGTATTGATGAGGTAAATATCTGATCTTGGATAATGAGTGTGATAGTCTGAATTTAAGTCTTGCAGAGGAGCAAAGCAGACTATTGAGATATGATTGAAAAGGAGTTTATTGAAGGGGAGAGGAGATATGGCTGTAATACGAAGGAAGGGGAGAGAAGCTATAGCTGTAATAGGAAGGAAGGGAAGAGGAGATATTGCTGTAATAGGAAGGAAGGGGAGAGGAGGTATGGATGTAATAGGAAGGAAGGGGAGAGGAGTTGTAGCTGTAATAGGAAGGAAGGGGAGAGAAGGTATGGATGTAATAGGAAAGAAGGGGAGAGGGGAGAGGAGATATGGCTGTAATAGGAAGGAAGGGGAGAGTTGATATGGCTGTAATAGAAAGGAAGGGGAGAAGAGATATCACTGTAATAGGAAGGATGGGGAGATGAGATATGGCTGTAATAGGAAGGAAGTGGAGAGGAAATATCACTGTAATAGGAAGGAAGGGGAGAGGAGATATGGCTGTAATAGAAAGAAAGGGGAGAGAAGCTATAGCTGTAATAGGCAGGAAGGGGAGAGGATATATGGCTGTAATAGGAAGGAAGGGGAGAGGAGATATGTCTGTAATAGGAAGGAAGGGGAGAGGAGTTGTGGCTGTAATAAGAAGGTAGGGGAGAGGAGATATGGCTGTAATAGGAAGGAAGGGGAGAGGAGATATGGCTGTAATAGGAAGGAAGGGGGGAGGAGATATGGCTGTAATAGGAAGGCAGGTGAGAGGAGATATGGCTGTAAAAGGAAGGAAGAGGAGAGGAGTTGGGGCTGTAATAGGAAGGCAGGGGAGAGGAGGTATGGCTGTAATAGGAAGGAAGGGGAGAGGAGTTGGGGCTGTAATAGGAAGGCAGGGGAGAGGAGGTATGGCTGTAATAGGAAGGAAGGGGAGAGGAGTTGGGGCTGTAATAGGAAGGAAAGGGAGAGGAGGTATGGCTGTAATAAGAAGGAAGGGGAGAGGGGAGAGGAGATAAAAACCTAGGCAACGATTATACAGCCTTAATTATCGAAAACTGCTCCCATTTATTGTTTGATTTGTACTCCCGTAATTCTGCAGTACCTGAGGTTGTCACTTACTTTTAAAAAAAACATCGGTTAAAGAAATAAAAAATAAAAATAAAGTGTAAAGAAAACGCAGCCCATTATGATGATATTTAACTTGTTCTGTTTGCTGTGGTGACAGGAAATATAGTTTGTTAGTAAATATCCGTGACTCAGTGTTAGATTTTAACAAGCTGGTCTCTGTGGGAGATTTTGTTGATTTAATCTTGGCTCGCGGTTTTGTTGTTCTGGTACAGAAATCCAGAAATCCCTTTTTCTGGCAGCATCCTTATTAGTCTAAGCTTCAGTTGATATGTACAATATGGAGATGTGTTGATGGTAATTAGATCCTTTCTTTCTCAATTCCATTTCCAAATTTCTGGTAGTGACTCTTCTTTGCTAACGCATTAGCGATTCTTCTTCAGTTAACATTAGACGTAATGTTTTGCTGCTTTTAATCAACACTTTTTCTGAACTGTGAAATAAAGCAAAACGTAACCAGATACTAATGTCAAATGTGGGTGATGTATATGAAATAATTTCTTGAACAAGTTGTCTACGAGGAGCAACCAACCAAAGGTACCTATTACAGGAGCTCACTTTTAGAATTCTGCTCTTTAATTTTTAGGTGCTACCTAGTACCTGGATTTTGTCACTTTTAGAAGATTTGAATATCTATTTGTGTGACGGACTGCCTTGCACCCTGACCAGGTACCTCCGTCCTAGTACTTGCAAATACCATAAGCACTGCACTGGAACACCATAACCATCGTAAACCCCACGAACCGCCGCAGCTTGGTTGGGGTCTCGCCGTCCTCCACCCACACTGGTCCAAAGACCAGGATCCAGCTTCCAGTGGTAGGCCTCTCCTAGTCCAGAGAGGAACAGCTCTTACAAGACCTGAGTGATTATACTCAGGGGAGTATAGTGATTATAGCAATCCCCAGAGTGTAGTTCTCCAATCCCCCAAACATGAGCCGAAACTTCATGAAGGTGCAAGATGATCTGAGAGTTTATGGTATAGGTTGGATTTTTATACAACTTTTCAGGCCAGAGGAACACCCACTGGACTTGATGGGGCACAGGACACAAATTGTACAGACCAATAGAAACAATGTAAAAATGCCTGACACTCTTACATACAGCACACAATCCCTCCCCTCTGACTGTGATACAATTAAGGTAGATACTGTATTAACGTAATTATCCCCAAGCATAAAAAACACATATTTTACAAAGTCTCCTAAGTACCCCAAAATACATATCCCCATAAAAGTAACATCCCTTGATAGCCCTGATCAGGGTGAACAACATATCCAAAAATCACCCGGATCAGAGGAGTGGTCCATGGAAGTCTCTTTTAGACCAGCCGCAAGCATGGCTTCATGCCCAAAATAGTTCCAGAGAATTAGGCTGTGCAGCCGGTCTATTTCCAATTATTAAAATGCACTTCAAATAGTCGAACAGGACTGTTCATGCACAAAGTCAGTGTTTCTACTGAACGGCGCTCTGTTCGTGCATATTTAGCCAAACATAGATGGAGGTGGAAGTCCCAGCGGTGTTCGTGCCGTCGAGTGTCCGATTTCAGTTCCATGAACTCGACGGCTGTAGAATATTGCATATTCTATGTTTCTATTGATTATATATATGGATGTGTGGATTGACATAAGTAACAGATGGTATCAATAAGTCACAAGGCTTTCTTTGTCCGAGAGCTCTGGAATGTGGATTCGGAGGTCTTGTCCTTATATGGCTAGAGGTAAACGCTGACGTTAGTATTAGCACATCTTTATAGTAACAGAGGGACACGAGGTCGCTCTCAGTCTTGGTCTTGGCTTGAGTCTTGGCTCTGTACAACGATGTAACTCTCCCATCAGAAGTCCAGCAATTACCATCTGCTGTTGAATGTCCATTATCCTGTAACATCATTTATTATGTTTTATTATGTATCCGTAACAAAGAATAAACCTGAAGAAACCGTAAGTCAGATTGCGTATTACTACTTTTCAATAATATAGACATATATTATTGTGGCGAGCATTTGGCCCAATAATATATATACAAAAGAAGTATATATATATCAATCAACTGAAGATAAGAAGAAATTAAGAAGATTCAACGTTAACACCATTCAATCAACTGGATTTTACAATGGCAAAACACCACTGACCGCATTCCATTAAACAAGATGGCCGCCGCCACATGTTCGACTATACGAACGGCGACCACCCAGCTGTTCGGCAATTAAGCTGTGGTTAACCACAGCTTCTGGGAGGTTAAGAGGCTGCACACTCCACTGTTCAACAGGTTGTTCGGTAAACAAACACCACAAGCCTAATCCATTCGGTAAGCCCCATATAATGAACCACATGGTTTTTTCGCTCAAGTTCACCACAGGGCCATAGTCACAGGGCAAGAAGCTGGCAAGCAGGCCTCTCCAAATCCCAATGACAAAGGTGCTTACATCACAATTTGTAACATGAAATAAGGTAAAAACTATCCAGTAATCAAATCTATGTGTAAGTAGATGTGTTTATTTTGTATCCATTATGTGTGTTATGGTATCATTTTGTTTTAATATGATTCTATGCCATAATATAACATAACTTTACAGCTGGCTGAAGTGTTTGGTGTACTATTAAGTTGCACCACCAGATGTCATTAGTGAGCAAATTATATGTATGGGTCATGATTTTTCAGTCATGTGCTTTCTAGGAAAATACATGTGACATAGATACCCTCCTTAAGAACAGGATTTCCTGTTTGTAGTCACTTCCTGTCACTTCCTGTGTTGCTCATAGTCTACTGGGTTGCAGCTATGTGCCTTCCCGTGACTATGCAATATGATAAACCCACACACTCCCTATTTAAAGATAAAACCTAAAACATATCTATGTATCCAGATGGCTAGTGTGAGGAAAAAAACATCTCTATCACACGTTGCAAATAGCTTCTGCTATTTCATGTGAAACATGTTTTATGCTGTAATACTTAATTTATTTTTAAAACAAAATAAGTATTGTTTTATTTATTAAATGTTGTTACCTATTTTATTAACTTATGGACAATTTAGTTTAGTACTTAGTTTTGACTCATTTATGTTAGATATCTGTAGTTAAAATGCACTCTATGCACCATAACCACTACAGTGTGTTGGTGCCAACACAGAATGTGTGTCAAATTGTTTTCAAGTGATTTCCAACACTAGTGCTTGGTCCCTCTACTGCAGCTTGACTGATGCAAAAGTGGATATCTGCATTACCCTGTCCAACTTTGGAGGGCAATGGCAAGCTGAGAACACTAGGGTGCATTCACAAATAGCTCTCAGCCTACCATTGTCAACCAAAGATTGTAGGGTTAATGTGAAAACCAGGAACCACCAGAGCCGTGCATTTTATCAAAAGCTCTTTATGTTATTAAAAGCTCCTTTTGAACAGATTCATACAGGAGCATTGCACCCAGACATTGCTTGCATCATAACCTCTACAACATGCTGCAGTGGTTATGGTTTTTATCATGTCCCTTCTGTAAGAAACTGCTTACTATATCCATAACCGATAAATGTAAATATATATGTATATATACTTGTACATCAACACAAGTATGAATAAATGTATTGAATGGAATCGTTAATATAGACATACAGCTCAAGCTTCTTCAAAAGACACAGTTAAATCCCTCTCGCCTGTTCCTGAATTTAGCCCTATTCTCCTGTGGTGGTGGCATAGACAGACATTAATAAGAATCTTAACAACATCTCCATATATGGCGACATACAGCACCAGATTTATTTTTATCCTGCTTTTATTCTGTAGTCCAGTACGCCAGATGATGGATGCTTAGAAATACTTATGTCAAAGGCAACATTGTGACTTTTTTTGTGATGAAAATCGCACAGACGTTTAGGTTATGGGTATATTTAAAGTCCTCTGCGGTTGCTATTAAATACTTTAGCCAACGATTGGCACTGAGCAACAGGTGATACTCGAAAAATTAGAATATCGTGCAAAAGTTCATTTATTTCAGTAATGCAACGTAAAAGGGAAAACTAATATATGAGATAGGTGCATTACATGCAAAGCAAGATCAGGTGAGTTTGCTGGCCAATCAAGCACAGTAATCTCTCGGTCATTGAACCAGGCTTTGGTGCTTTTGGCAGTGTGGGCAGGTGCCAAGTCCTGCTGGAAAATGAAGTCAGCATCCCCATAATGCTCGTTTGTGGAAGGAAGCACGAAGTGCTCCAAAATCTCCTGGTAGATGGCTGCGTTGACCCTGGACTTAATGAAGCACAGTGGACCAACATCAGCAGATGACATAGCTCCCCAAATCAACACATACTGTGGAAACTTCAGACTGGACTTTAAGCATCTTGCAGTGTGTGCCTCTCCATTCTTCCTCCAGGCTCTGGGTCCTTGGTTTCCAAATGAGATGCAAAAGTTGCTCTCATCAGAAAACCTTTGGACCACTGAGCAACAGACCAGGTCTGTTTTTCTTTAGCCCAGGTAAGACGCTTCTGACGTTGTTTGTTGTTCAGGAGCAGCTTGACAAGAGGAATACAACATCTGAAGCCAATGTCCAGGATCCGTCTGTGTGTGGTGGCTCTTGATGCACTGACTCCAGCCTCAGTCCACTCCTTGTGAAAGTCCCCAACACATTTGAATGGCCTTTTCCTGACAATCCTTTCCAGGCTGCGGTCATCCCTGCTGCTTGTGCACCTTTTTCTTCCACACTTTTCCCTTCCACATAACATTCTATTAATGTGCTTTGATACAGCACTTTGGGAACATTCAACTTCCTTCACAATTACCCTTTGAGGCTTTCCCTCCTTATGGAGGGTGTCAATGATGGTTTTCTGCACAACTGTCAGGTCAGCAGTCTTCCCCATGCTTGTGATTCCTACTGAACCAGACTGAGAGACCATTTAAAGGCTCAGAAACCCTTTGCAGGTGTTATGGCTACTTAGCTGATTAGAGTGGGACACTGTGAACCTAGAATATTGCACCATTTCGCAATATTCTAATTTACTGAGATTGTGCATTTGGGGTTTTCATGAGCTGTAAGCCATAAGTCATCGCACTTATGACAAATCACAGCTTGAACTATCTTGCTTTGCATGTAATTCGTCTATCCCATATATTAGTTTCCCCTTTTTAACGTTGCATTACTGAAATAAATGAACTTTTGCATGCTATTCTAATTTTCCGAGTATCACCTGTAATTACTGCTTTCAATTACTGACGAGGATGTGCTAGATTCACTCTAAATAACCACACTGTGCACCCAAAGTTCTTAAAAAAGTCATATTTCAAACCCAGTGTATATGATGTTTGCCAATTGTCTCGCGATAAGCAGAATTTTCACTGACCGCAGAACATATCACATGGAAATTCTTGAGTATTAGTATTTCTGCAATTTAGCAAATATTCTAATTCACAATGTTCATTAATAATGGTAAACACCACTTAGTGTGAAACGTGTTGACCCTGATCTATTTTATTCTGTTGTTTTGTTTCTGTACCCCTATCGATATTATGGCTGTCATATAATGGTACTACAAATTTGCATACGTATCTTTATTTTCAAATTTTCCATCCAGGTTCCACTTTGATCGAAACCAGAGCAGAACACCAGTAACTGTTTCTGAACAACATTCGGATAATTATTTCATGTCACTAAATGAGTGTTTCGGCAGGATGACACCCTGAATGATGTGGACATGATGGTAAATCACTTAATAATCAGCATTAGTAAGAGATGGCCATATGAATACATATTAATATATCATATAAAAAGGCAAATACCCTTCTCTTTGGTAGTTCCTGAATTAAAACATAAACATTTTTTTTGTTTACATTACAACCCAAACCGCAGTGCCCCTGCCTCAGTAATGTTATATAGTAAATGTTTCCTAAATGACTAATATGATAAGATTGTTTCTTACAAACACCCCTACACAGTCTTTCACAGTAGAAATTATCTCATTTTAACAGATTACTCCAACAGATGTGTTTTTATCTCTGCATTCTTTCATCCATAACAAGCTCACCGCTTGATGGTAATAGCAGCAGAGCTATCAGGGCTTTGTCTATTTATTCCTGAATAACATTACTTTTTATTTTCACTTTTACTTGCTTATTTACTGATATGAAAGTGCACTGTGAAAGGTCCGTGTAAGGTTGAAATGTTTCCAGTTACCTTTTCTGAGATCACACTGTCCTGCTAATGAACATTTTCTTCACTTGACATCACTTCAGCCAATGTAACAATTTCTTCCTAATTTACTTGGGCCTGGTTGTAAGTGTATCATCTGTGATCACAAGGGTTCCAACCTTTCTCTGGTAAAAATGCCATCCACGCTAATTTGCACAAGAGTAAAAAATAGATTTGGAAATGCTGTAAATCATAAAAAAACTACTCCCAGTTTGATTCTGTATAGAGAAATTGTTCTGCAGTTTGTGTAGATTGGACAGCCGTTCTGAGTGCTCACTCAATGGACACAGCAGAAGGCTGTCTGTGACATATCCCTGTCTAAGGGTGAATATTATTAGTCATGTTATAGGCACACTCCAGACACATAAAACAAATCAGCCTATTGAAGTGTTTTGAATGTCTGGAGGTTGTCATTTAAAAAAAAAAAAAAAAAGGTTTATAAAAGTGCAAATTTTAATAGAAATTATTACTTTCACAAGCAAATGCTGTAACGCTTCCCAGCTGTCACTCCTACAGCCGAGAAGTTTTCTTCCATTTCTGTTAGCTCGATAGAGCTTGCCTGCCTTGCCCCTTCCCAATAAGCAGCACCGCTTAATGAGTAGCTTTGGAAAGCAGTGATTATATCTACTAAATAGTGAAAAATTCACCAATCTATTTTAAAGGGTGTCATTGTTCAGCTCCTCTTATTTTATGCATCTGCAGTTTACTACCCTCCTCATTCTCTCTTATTATTA